AGGAAGCCGGGCGGCACTCTGCACCGGCTCAGGAGCCCGCTCGCCTCCCCGCACTCACCCCATAATCCCGCGTGCCGTCCAGCCGATCCTCGGGCTCCTGATCCTTCCTTCCTCCCTTCCTTCCCTCCCTCCCCGCCCGCAACGCCCGTGTCCCGCCGCCTCCGAGAGCTCCGCCGCCGCTCAGCCGCTCAGGGGGAGGCGAGGAGGACGCCGCGGCCGCCAAGGAGTAGGACCAGCTCGGCTGGAGTCGTGCTGCTGGGGGAGATGGAGCCGCCGATGCGATCACAGTCCCCGCGCCGCCTCCCGCCTCTGTCCTCGTCGCCCGGGACCCCGCCGTTGCCGGGCAACCGGAGTAGGCGGTGGTGAGGATGGGGGGCAGCTCATCAGCTGGGGGAGGGGGCTGCAGAGAGGAAGAGGAGGAGGTCTCACCTCCGACAAGCCCGACCTGGATCCCGAGTATCTTCGGAGGGCAGCCCAAGTTTACGGAGCCTGTCTGTGCAACCCTGGAGTCCGGGATCCCCCGGGAGGAATTCAGGGAAACCTAAGGCTTCCGTTTATTCTTGTCCCCATGTCTGCAAAATATATTTTGTCTTGTGGAAAAAGTTTTAGTTCTCTCTTTCCTTTTTAGTTTTTTCTCTCTTATTGTTGTTTATGCATCCTGCTTTTTCTTAGCTTTTGTATAGGGAGGGAGGGAGGGAAAAGATGGATGGATGGATGGATGGATGGATGGATGGATGGATGGATGGATGGATGGATGGATGGATGGAAAAAGAGAGGGAGGGAAAAAGAATGGGTGAACGGAAAAGGGGAAGGAGGGAGGGAGGAAAAAAGGGGGAAGGGGAAATAGAAAGGGAGAGGAGGACAGAAGGAGGGAGGAAAGTTTTCCCCAGCTGCAGTCACTTCATCAGATGGACAAAGCAAGTTCTGGTGATGAAATGAGCTGGGAGAAAGCTTCTGCCTTTTAATAATATGGATTAGCAGTAAATGAGACTACCAGACTCCTGATTCTTGGCAAATTTGAAGTCTTATTACTATTGTTGTTGTTATGCCAGCACAATGCCTAATATTGTGATGAAACTGAGGGTTGGCCCTAGGGGCACCCATGTTCAAGTTGAACTCTCCTTTGGGCCAGGCTTGCTCCATGCCAACCTGCCTCTGGGGGGGAGTTGCTGGGCTAAAGAAAAGGCAGGTGTAAATCCCACAATGGAAGAATGATTGACAATCCCTGTTTCTCCTCTAACTTTCAAATGGAAAATGAACTCTGGATTAGAAAAATTGACCCGGATGAACTCATTTTGTTTTGCAAGGCCTTGTTTCTCTAAAGTAAATACACACAGGTTTCATTGCCTGCTTATCTCAAACGGCCTCCTACTCAAGTCACTGGCTCTTAATCTCAGTATAGTGTTCATAGCTGCTTTTTTTAAACCTTCTTGGCTTTTTTTTCCTTTGGAAATGTTTCACTTTTCATCCAAGAAGCTTCTTCAGTTCATCAGTTCAGTTTTCCAGAACTGAAGAAGCTTCTTAAATGAGAAGTAGAACATTTTCAAAGAAAAAAAAACTGTTTCTCTTTTCGAAAAGAGAGAAGTGCTGAAAAATCCACTTTATCTCAACCCAGCCATGTCATTAAATTAAACTAAATCATCAGATGTAGGGGTCCGTCAGTTAATGTCACATTGGGCAAGATTCGAGAAGATAATTGATCTCACTCCCCATCCAAACCCTTCCCCCATCTTCCTCGTCCTATTTTCACCACAACAATGACCCTGTGCGGTGAATTGGGCTGAGAGAGAGGGACTGGTCCTGTTGTAGCCTGACAGTTGCCAGCAGAGCTGGCAACAGATTCGAACAATGGTTGGAGAGGAACATGGGCCAGTCCTAGAGTCTGGAGAACACTCTGATGAGGGCTCTGCGTTGGAAACAGTGATGGGACAAGGGCCATATGCCAGTTATCAACTGCCTTTGGAGTCAGACATCAGTGAGGCAGATGAACAGCTGGAGCCTGTTCCCTGTGTGCGCATGCACAGAGTTGCCAGATGAAGGCAACAGCTAAAGAACAGGGGTTGATCTGGGAGTAAGGCCACGGGTGGACAATGAATGCCCCCTCCCAGAGGAAATAAAAGAGGAGCGAAAGGGGAGTGGAGTTTGCAGGAGACAATTAGTTTACTTAATTGGTTCGTGACATTCTGAGATTCCTTGCCAAGTTTTGCAGATATAGGCTTGGCAGCTCTCCAAGCCAGATAAGGTCTGTGACTGTAAATCCTCCCTTGAAAGACTTTGCTGGTTGTGAATGAGCAGAATTCACAGCAGATTAATAAAAAGGGTTTTTGTCAGGGCAAGGAGTTTGATTCATGCTCTTGGGAAGCCTCGGGTCCAAAGTCATTCAGCCAGTTTTTCATGCCTACAATTGGACTGGAACTCACTGTAGCCTGGTGCCTTTACCACTAGACCAAACTGGTTCAGTTAAGGGTTTTATTAAAGAAGCCTAGATAAATATTGAGATTTTATTACAAACATTAATTTATTTAGAAAATGCAATTGGAGAAATGTGCATCCTTTGGAATCCAGTATATCTGAAAATCTGTTTTAGCAAAGCACAGAATTTAGCAGTAATTACAAATTGGCCACCATCATGAAAATAGTGTCATCTAGGAGATGCTAGCTCAGCTTTATGTGGGATCATGAGCATGGAACATTTTCTTTGAAGGCAGAAAAGAGATTTGAATGTCTCATTAAAACACTCAGCCTAAGTAAGAGTGGGAGTATGATCAAAGTAAAGTTCCTAGTAATCTCTACTCCTTCTCCTATATGAGCAAGTATTTAATTACTCCGTGACATTCATGATGAGTGAAACACAATCCTTTTGAGTCACAAAAGGGCTTCTTTGACAAGCAATAAACAATAATAGTTTTTTGTAGCCAAAATTGATTTGCAATGATACATTATGTTTCCATTTGTTAAAAAGTTTGTAAATTTCTCCTCAACTCAGGATACAAATTCTGAGCTGGTTTATCCTAACTTGCAATGCAAAACAGCTTTGTTTTCTTTCTCATACAATGTAATGTGGCATCTGTACATACCTAATATCTAATCAAATAAAAAAATTAAAAATAAAATTAAAAGCTCGGTTATAAATTCTGCTTCCTCACCCCTTCTGAATATTCACAAAAACCTTTCTAAAAGTCGTAGGTATTTATTTCATATGCACATATGTATATATGTGTGCACACACCCACACACTCCAGCAGATCAAAATATAATTTATATATACTGAGACGTCTTCAGATAGCGCTGGCTCTTCGGCTTTAAAACGGAGATGAGTACTGCCCCCTAGAGTCTGGAACAACTAGCATACATGTGCAAGGGGAACATTTACCTTTTAGTCATTTATTACACACACACTCACATACAATTGCATTTTATGGCTTAGCTTGGGTTTCCTAGAAACCACTCCAGCTTATTGGAAATCATTAATCAGTTGGAAAGTGTTTTTTGGGGCGGGCGGGGGGTGGGTGGGACACAAAACAATGCCAAACGCTTACATGCTGTTGCTAAGTAAATAATATGCCCAGAAAGTTCCCAGGAGCAAAGCACAGTTTGTAAGAGGCTTTACGTTTGGTCTCTGGTGACTTAGAGCACAAGGCTAATGTGACAAAAAGCATGTACTCATCCCTGCAATCTCGGTACAGTTAACAATCAAATAGCTTTAGCGGAGATCCCATCTGAGTTCCTGGATGAGGATGGCACAGCAGTATCACTGCATTGGCACGTTCTCTGGATCCCCGCCTCATATAGACAGTACAGCAATATCTTCATATGACGGGGCTTGGTCTAGGCTAGGCCTCTCCAAACCTGGCAACTTTAAGACTCATTGCAGGCTGGGAAATTCTGGGAGTTGATGTCCACAAGCCTTAAAGTTGCCAAGTTTGAGGCCCCTGGACTTAGAGATAAAGTGGGCTTTAAAAAAAAAAGGCAGGCAGAAAGGAAGGAGAAAGAAGGAAGGAAAAAGAAGAAGGAAGGAAAGAAGGAGAAAGAAGGAAGGAAAGAAAGAAGGAAGGAGAAAGCAAGAAAGAAAAAGCAAGAAAGAAAGTAGGAAGGAAGGAATGAGAAAGGAAGGAAAGAAAGAAGGAAAGAAGGTGAAAGAAGCATAGTTTGCAGGTGTTGAAAATATCTAAGAACCTGGTTCTGCCACCTCAGTTGAATATGCAGCCACGGGGCTGGTTAACACACTGAATGCCCCTCCCCTGTCTTATAATTAACTTTTAATGTCAACTTTAACTATCCTGGCTTCCATTTTAAATTTTATATTCAGTTTTTAATGTTTTATTTGAGCACCCCCCAGAGTCCTCTGTAATGCAGATCCTAAATTTATTTATTTATTCATGTTAGAAGAATCTTTATTAAAATTCCTACTGTAGGTATGAATGCAAGCATAAGAATGTAAACTTTAAAATGTATAAAAGCCTAATGTGGGTGGTGCTTGCCCAGAAGCATGCATCATTGATGGCATTGTATTGTGCTGTCGTAAGGCCCTCAAGAGGACAAGGGGCAGAAGGCAAGTGTGAAGTGCTTTGCAGATTGCCACATTCACAGTAGGCAGAATTCACCAAGTATCCCCAGTTATTCAAGGTATCTCTTGATCTTGCTATTCCTAAAGATGGTAGGTAGGTAGGTAGGTAGGTAGGTAGGTAGGTAGGTAGGTAGGTAGGTAGGTAGGTAGG